GCCGCGGGGCGAGCGGGGGCGCCGGCCCGACGCCGCGGCGCGCGAAAATGTTGGAGATCTGCCTGAAGTTGGTGGGCTGCAAATCCAAGAAGGGGCTCTCCTCGTCCTCCAGCTGCTACCTGGAAGGTGAGCGCCTGCCCGCCGCGCCCACGGCCTCCCGGGCCTTCCCGGCCTTCCGGGGCCTGGCGGGGCGTCTGCCCCCTCCTGCTTCTGCCCCCTTCCTGCCTGCACCCTCCCCCACCGCCCCAGGGGGTGAAGAGGGCAGGGGGCCCCCTTTTCCTCCCCTTCGCCTCCCCATCCACCGGGAACCCAAGTCGGCTGTGCTTATGTCTCGTCGCGGCCCCCACCCTGGGGTGGCCCCAAGAAAGTTTTGAAGGCCAGCGCTTGGCGGGCCTGCAGGGCCTGGTGAGCCCACGCGCTGCAGTTTCCACCCTTCTGGGGAACTGTGTGTCCAAAAGGCCCGAAGCGGGTTTCTGTTAAGCGGCCGCACAAAGGCGTTGGCCCTGCCATTTATGGAGCCCTGGCAGATCTCAGCCCTCCACCATCTCATCTGCCGCCCGGAGGTCGGGCCTGGCCTGAGGGATTCTGAGGGATTCCCTTTTGCGAGAGAAAAGAAACCCTGATTCTGAGTCGGCCTTTGCGTGACCTGGGAGCAGGCCGGAGTGGGGCCTGGGGAGCCCCTGGCGAGGCCTGGGGGGGGGCCCTTCAGCTCCAGTCCTGCGCGCTGCTCGTTACTTGTCCTTCGTGTTTTGTCCTAATAAGGGGACAACTGAAGAAAAACAAATCAAATTGAGGACGAGGGGTCCTCTTCCTAGCTCCGAGATGGATCTGAGGTTGGGCCGATGTGGGCCTGGAGGCCGGTTGCTGCCCTCATCGGGAGGCCTGAGGGCCCTGGGGGCCCAGGTGTGGGCGGGTGCAGGTGCCTGGTGTTCTTCTGGAATCCGGAGAGCGGGGCTTGGCCTAGAGCAAGGGCTCCTGGCAGAGAGCGAGCCGTGGAGAAGTCAGCAGGGCCTCGCTCGTGGTTCAGCGCCTTTTTCTCTTCCTCCCACCGTCGTCTCTTCCCTATCTTTGACCTGAGGCCCCACCCGGAGTCCCCAGTGCCGCTCACACAACACCGGTGACAGCGGCAAGCCCTGTTTGTCGTCTTGCTGCGGGAGGGGTCTGTGCCACCCCTCCCTCCCTGGCACCCCCCCTTGGCAGCAGGGAGAGATGGTTTATTTGCCCTGAAAGTCGGCATCTGAGCAGCCAAAACTCGCTTCAGTTAACACCTCAGCTCTTTTCCTCGAGGCCCGCGGCCGAGCTGTTTCCATCTGAGGGGTTAGTGTTAGGCGTTAGCATCTCCATTTTGTGCTGAGTGGATGAATGGACTTTTGTGCCCAGGCTGGAGGCGTGTTTAGGTCACTGCGAAGCTGTGACAGGGTTTTGTGTTCTGGGGGAAAATTCTGGGGGACAAACTGGAGATTAGTGCTTGTACCTGGCTGGTTTAGTTATTGTCGGGGGAGGGGCACCGCAGTGTCTTGCCAGCTGGCCTTGAGCCAGTGCCGACCCCCAGCTGCACCCCCAGCTGGGTCAGGCAGCGTCAGGCAGGTGTCTCCCTGGAGTCCTCCCTCCTCCTTTCTCTGTTTCGTGTCATTAGCGGATTCCTTGTGTTGAGAGAAGTTAGCTGAGAGACGCCGAGAAGTTAGCGCTGTCTTTAGCCCAGTGATGGTTCCTTCAAACGTTGGCTGTGCTCTCGGTCTCTAGGGGAAAGCAGTTGCGACATCTGGCCAGGCAATCCAGCCTTTCTGCTTTTCTGACATCCTAAATCAATCAATCAGAGTTTATTGACACCCACTTGGGGCCCAGGCTGCTCAGGTCACAGAGAGAACTGGGTCCAGTCAGAATTTCCGTTCTTCTGTCTCGGAAGGGTCAACTGTGCCTCGCTGGCCCAGGGCCGCCTGTCGCCGGCTCCGAGCAAGACCGTCGGGCGGCCCCGCGCCGGAGTTGCTCGTTTCCCGTAGCGGAGTGGCTAATGCCGCTGGTGAAGGAGCCCGAGGCACCGAGTGACATTGTCTGCGGCAAGGGGGTGCTGGGATTTGAGCCCCAGCCACCCGCCAGAAAGGCCCCTCCCAGCCTCGCTGGGCCTTGCAGCCTGCCCGCCTCGGAGCCCCGTGGGGGACGTTCCGCTCAGAGCCACAGCGCCGAAGAAGGCAGTTTTCTTTCTCTGGAAGCCAGGTGATGGCAAACATCGTCACGAGTGTATCTGTGCATGCCAAAAGAATCTAGAAGGCAGCGAGTTAGTGGAAAGCAATTCCGTCTCACTCAGGAGGCCGTGGGCCCTTGGGGAAGTGTCGGGCGCAGGAGCCGCGGCAGCTTCTGAGTCGGGCGCTCCGCCCTGATGTGGTGTGCAGCCGCCTCTCAGCCCGTGACCACCGCCAGCTTTGTGGCCTTGGTCCACTTCGAACACCGGGCTTCCGGTTCCCTTTCCTCCCTGAGGCCCAGAGACATCGTGAACACCGGCCCCTGAACTCGGCCTGCCCTCACCTTCCCGGGTCTGCGTGCCTGTGTGTGAGAGCGAGCTTGCGAGTGCACGCAGTGTGGGTGACGCACGCGGGCAGTTAGTTTGTCCCAGGACGCGAACACCATGTCTGTGAGATGAGCTCGTGAGCTTTAGGAATTTACTTGAGGGGCCTGTCTTTGAAGGCTGCATTTCAGCAGTGAACTTTCTGGCAAATGCTGTCAGTGGTGCCAGCCAGACAGACACACGTTCAGCGTGCGAGCTTCAGAGGAATGTCCACTTTCTGAGTCCTCTTCTGAGGGCACCCCGTGCTCCCCAGCCCAGTGGCAGGAAACCAGGGGCACTTCCTGTGGCCTGGCAAGGCCTGACCTTGTTACCCAGGGCACTGGAGACGGGGGTGGGTGGGTCCGGGGTGCCTGTCCTCCCCTGCCCCGCTCGCCGTGAGCCAGCAGCTGGTGGACGCGAGTCAGGCCCGATGCACTTTGGCTGGAAATACTTGAGAGCTCGCAGTCAGGAGAGCCCAGCTGATCCCAGCTTTTGTTTCCTCGTCTCTAAGACAGAGCCCACATCTGCGTGCCCCTCAGAAGACCGTGTTGAGGAACCACGAGGTGACTTGGGTGAAAGTCTGAAGCCAAGTGCTCAGTGACTCTTCACCCCCAGGCAGCGCTGGGAGCTGCCCCTGAGCCCGGCTTCTGCCCCAAGGATGTTGCTGGGGGCCTTCCAACCTGAGGTGTGACCACCTGAGTGCCCTGCCCCGCGGCTGCCGTGGCTTGCTCTGAGTCCTGGGCTGTCAGTTCCAGAGCGAGACTCAAGTGGCCTCTCTGAGTTGAGAGTTTAGCACAGAGCAAGAAGCCCACATACATGAACTGCTATGACTTTTTTTTTTTTTTTTAAGATTTGTTTACTGGGGTGCAGGCACAGTGAGAGGATTCACCAGAGACAGCGGGGAGCAGAACAGGCAGATCGATGAAGTGCACTGCTGAGGGGAGCGAAGGGGAGACAGGAGAGGTCTGCCGCGCCCCGGGGGTCAGCTCCGAGTCCGGGGATCAAACTCGCAGTGAGGCGGCTGCGGCCAGCCTGCAGTGCGGCGTCTAAGCCGCTGCGCCACAGGGAGGGCCCGCCTGCTGTGATTTTAAGCAAGTACTTAGCGGTCTAGAACGTTGGCGCTGCCCACTTCTCCAGGGGCCGAAGCGATGGGATTGAGCTGAACCCACCCTAACTTTTCTTGTTTTCTCAAACATTTTGTTTCCAACTCTGGTAGCATAGAATGAAAACTTCCTGTGCTTGGTGTTAAGCGAAATGCATCTTCCCTTCTTCTGACCTCTCTTATTCCCGTGGTGACTATTTTAATTGTGGAGGAAAGTCTCCCAGTGGCTCATGGTGGACATTTTATTTCTCTCCAGAGGCAGTGTATCCGCAGTCCCAACATGTGAATGCTGAAAACCTCATACTGCCCGCTACCTTATTGTAAAGACTAGTTGGAATTTTGCCAGTGTGATCACGGATCTGAAATAGAAACAGGAAAAAACACCAGTGGGTAGATTTTTAAAGAGCGCGGCAGGATGGCGCGTCACAGCTGGGGCGCAGTGCCTGTGCCTGCTGTGGGCCAGTGGGGCCGAGGCTGGGAGAGGCGGGCTGGGGCATCCTCCGCATGGCCGACAGGCTTGGTCATGCGGGGCGTGGCCCGTGCCGGGGCCTGGTGTCCAGCCCTGGAGTGCGCCCCCGCGTCTAGCCCCACTAAACGGGACTATTTAAGTACAGCGCCGCCCTGGTGGCGCAGCGGGTTAAAGCGCAGCGCTATGAAGCCGGCCACAGCCGCTTCAGCTCGAGGTCGATCCCCGGGCAGGGAGTGACCCACACGGCGCGGCAGACCTCTCTTGTCCCCTGCTGCCCCCCTCAGCAGTGCACTTCATCAATCTGCCTGTTCTGCTCCCCACTCTGTCTCTGGTGAATCCTCTCACCGTCCTGCACCTCTGGCCTGTACCCCAGTTCTCAAGGCTTAAATAAATAAATCTTTTAAAAAAATACAGCAACTATGAAACATAAATTTATTATAGAACTAAGTTAAAATCAAGAACTAAAACTCAAATGGGCCAATGAAAGAATTTAACTTTTCCTCTGCAGTGGTGGATCGAAATACAAAATAAATTCTTGGGTTAGTTTTCTTTTTTCTTTTTCTTTTTCTTTTTCTTTTTTTTTAAGATTTATTTATTTGTGCATACAGAACTGGGGTACAGGCCAGAGACTCAGGGTGGCGAAAGACTTCACCAGAGACAGAGTGGGGAGCAGAACAGACAGATGGACGAAGTCCACTGCTGAGGGGAGCAGCGGGCGGGTCAGGAGAGGTCTGCCACGCCATGTGGTCACCTCCGGGGCAGGTGGGAATCGAACTCATGCGGAAGCGGCTTTAGATTCTCAGTGCTGTGCTTTAACCCGCTGTGCCACTAGGGAGAGCCGGGTTAGTTTTCTAATGGAACAATTTAACCTGCACGGTGGCGTAGCGTGTACAAGCCCCTTGTAGTCATCAGCCACCTTTAACAGCGATCCGTCTTGATTCCTGGCCTAGTAAAGGGGTCTTCGGAAGCCCTTAGAAAGAAGGAAAGAGAAAGAGCTCACTGGACTTTCTTTG